CGGTAGATTTGACGAACCGGTTCTACCCAACTGGTGCGAACCGGTAGGAACCCACCTCTGACGCCAATCCACTTGCAGGAAAGCAGACAAGAGGCAACTAACGTTACGGATATCCAGATTAGAAACGGAGTGCTTCGCGACACTGTTCCTCCCCCTTGTTTATTTTCCACTCCAGAAGACCCAAGATGGCTGAAGTTTATCACCTGTCCCTTGTGCTGTCTCCTCTGGCTTACCATTCCAGTCTCATTTCACAACAAGCTTCCTTTGACTGTTCCTTCTCCGCTTAACAGCGGGGAGAGCCAATTCCCCTAATGAGGTACAGACAAAGAAGCCAAGATACCCACCGAATAAAATATACAGCTATCTATGGGGGGGTGAAAAAAAACAACAACGGTAGTAATCTGATGACAATTTACATCTAAACGAGGGCACTAGATTTCAAAAAGCCATAAAGCACAGCAATGCAAATTACAGGGCTATTTTCAAGCAATAGAGATGCACCAATAAAAAATGAATTAATCTTTAAAAAACCTGGCAGTTCTACCGCAACAGGGAAAATTAAAAGAGATTAAAGTGCTCTCCATAATTCCGGCCCCTGCTTTAGCCAAACTAGGGGGAAAGTTCGATGGGGACTTGGAAATGTTCTCTTTTTTTTATTCACTGGATAATTTGGCTCGGTGACTTTAAGCCATTAAGCAAAACAAAAACCTCGATCAGATGTATTCTTGTTTTATTTTTATTTATGCAGTGTTGATGTTGCCCAACCAAATCTGGGAGGCTCGCCATAATCAAAAACAACGTAGATTTTCAACACACTTTAGCCCAAAGTTTGGAGGATATGTTTGGGTAAAAGGTAATGTTTCCCCACCGACATATGTGCTAGTCGTTCCCGACTCTAGGGGGCGGTGCTCATCTCCGTTTCAAAGCCGAAGAGCCAGCGCTGCCCGAAGACGTCTCCTTGGTCATGCGGCCGGCATGACTAAACACCGAAGGCGCACGGAACACTGTTACCTTCCCACCAAAGGTGGTTCCTATTTTTCTACTTGCATTTCTTACATGCTTTCGAACTGCTAGGTTGCCAGAAGCTGGGACAAGTAACAGGAGCTCACTCTGATACGCGGTGCTAGGGATTCGAACCGCTTAAATGCCGACCTTTCTGATCGACAAGCTCAGGGTCTGAGCCACTGAGCCACCATGTCCCTTAGTTCCCCCCCCCCCTGCCACTCCATAGTTAGATTCTTTTGTCTTTTTTCTTGCTTTCCTTCCCCAAAGGTAGGTGCGTCTTATACTTTGGATCGTCTTATACTCCAAAAAATACGGTAACTTGGCATGTGATCTGGTTCTCCTGTGGTCCCCAATCTCAGAACTGGACTCTTGGCAGAAGCTGGGACAAGTAATGGGAGCTCACCCTGTTACACGGCGCTCGGGATTCGAACCGCCGAACTGCTGACCTTCCTGATTGACAAGCTCAGCATCTTAGCCACTGAGCCACGGCGTCCTTCTCTATGGAGAATACTTCATATCTAAAACAGAATGTTCAAGTTTCTAGTCCATATAGCAGCTTACTAAATGACCGTTTGAAGCATCTTTTGGAACAACCTTCACATGCAGGCTGAAGGCAAATTCATCCAGGATCCCCTCCTAAGCAAGGAGACTAGGAAAGGTGACCAGTTCAGGCTTAATTTTGATTCTCCTTCTTCAGTTTCATATGCTTTTTCTCCATTTCTGGTTCTCCAGGCTTCACCTCCACGACTTAACGGTGCTTAAAG